GGCGCGGCAGACCGAAAAAAGGAGCACAGCAGAAATTGATCATTTCGCTGGGGACATCCTCAACAAATGAGATTTTCGCAACATCGCCTCCACATCGTTTTCGAAGTGCTTCAAGACGAAGAGATGAGAGCCCCCAAAGGAGCCCAAGATGGTTCCAACAGCGCCCTGGGGTCTGCCGAACATGACGAGTTATCTAGTCTTTCTGCCATGTTCCTGGTTTTCTTCTGGTTTGCTCCTTCGCTCTTGGGGCCTATTCTGCCGTGCTTCTTAGCTCTTGGGGTCCATTCCACCGTGCTCCTGGTCTTTTTCTGCTGTGCTCCTTCGCTCTTGGGGCTTATTCTGGTAATTTTCTGCCGTGCTCCTTGGCTTCTGGGGTGTATTCTGCTGTGCTCCTGGCCTTTCTCTGCCGTGCTCCTTCGCACTTGGGGCATATTCATCCCTGCTCTTTAGCTCCTGGGGTCTATTCTGCCGTGCTCCTGGTCTTTTTCTTCCGTGCTCCTTAGCTCTTGGGGCCTATTCTGCTGTGATCTTGGTCTTCTTCTGCCTGCTCCTTGACTTTTGGGGTCTATTCTGCCGTACTCTTTTGCTCTTGGGGTCTATTCTACCGTGCTCCTGGTCTTTTTCTGCCGTGCTCCTTCGCTTTGGGGGTTTATTCTGCCGTACTCCTTTGCTCTTGGGGTCTATTCTGCTGTGATCCTGTTTTTTTTCTGCCGTGCTCCTTCGCTCTTCGGGCCTATTCTGCCGTGCTTCTGGTCTTTTTCTGCCGTGCGCGCCCAGCAGCTCCGCCAAAACGACCACCGCGACGATCCGCACGGCAGAATACAGGAGCACGGCAGAACACACAGAGCACACAGAGGCACGGCAGAGTACAGAAGCACGGCAGAACAGGAGCACGGCAGAACACACAGGAACACAGCAAAACACACCCCACACGCACGCGGACACGCGCGTCACGGCATACCTTCGCGGCGTAACAACAACAGAGCATATTCCACATGCTTGGTGGACTAAAGCGACGCTTCCCGTTCTTGTCCGGTCAGGTGCACGGATTGATGGCGGTTTCTTTTCAAAATGTGGCTCTCGCCTTAACGCCGCGCACATCTGTTTTTAAACTTTTGCAAGAGTTTCACGCGTTCCCATGATCAGCGTACCAGAAATAGCGTTTTGGAAAGATTCAGGATTATGCGGGCGCAACAGTTGTGTTGATTCGCCGCGTTGAAGTCCCAAAAACGGCGTTATGGTACGATTCTGGATCGTCAAGACGCAGCAGTCAGGTTGATAAGTGGCGTTGCAATCCCGAGAACAATGTGTTGGCACGCTTCAGGATCTTCAAACTGTTGTCTTCCAGCGAGGCAATTTCCTCAATGGAAATGAGCCGTTGTAGGGGCCTGTGAAGAGGGAGCTTGGAGGGAGGGTTAATTCCAACATCGTTGATGACTCTTGGGTTTCCACTGGTTCTCCTCCTCCTCCCCCTCCTCTTTTTACACTCCCAGCCGCTGTTCTCGCGGCCAAGCTCCATGTCTGTTCGGTTGCGGTGGCAGGCCCGACGGGGTGCAGCTCTTCGCCCACTGTTCCGTGGTGCGCCGGCTCCTAGCAGCAGGCACCAGGCTGGCGCCGCGAGTGCGCAGGGCGGGGAGTTGGACCTTTTGGGAGGCTTCGACTGGCCAGACGCGGAGATCATCGCGCGGAGCAGGGCGATAACTACACGCCCTGTACCGGGTCCACAATTCACTGAGGCATGGGCGCGTCATTAGCGAACAGTTGGGCGGCGATTTCTGGGAAACTCTCTGGGAGGCGACGTCGCGTACAGGGGAGCTCTGTCCGCATTTTTGTTCCCCCTTTGCTCCTTTGCTTTCCTCCTACTCGCGTTGCTCCTTCTTGCACCTTCGCGTTGATATCCCAGTTTATTTAGTTTGATGAATATTATTTTTCTCGCGCACCTGCGTTGGCGTAGGGGGGTCGTGGTAGTACATGGCCCACCAAGCTTCCAGGGTAACCAAGAGGGTTGCATTTCCTCCTTCCTCCTTCTCCCTCCTCCCCTCCCCTCCTCCCCCCAGCCATCGTGTCCCCTCTGTCCTGGCCGCGTGGCCGATGGGCTCCGGGGAGGCAGTGCGCCCGGCCACCGAGTTTAGTTATCCTTGCCCCTCGTCCCCTTCCTCCTGCCCTCGCCTCCTGGAGGCGGAGCGCCAGCTGACCCTGCTATGGTGATCCTGCTCTCCGCCTCCTCCTCCTTTCCCCTCATCGCTCACATCCGAATGCTGGCGGTAACTGGCGTCTACGCCGGTGCACGCGGAGGTGGCTGGTGGAGGGCCCCCTGGTCTTGCCGGCCGCTCCCTGTCCAGGGAGCCGCCAGCGAGCCCGCAGTGTCCGTTGTGGCCGGCGGCCTGCGCTCATAGCGTGGCCATTTCTCACGTCGGTTCTTCAGCATGCTGGGTTTTTCTCCGTCGAGCTCAGGCGCATTGCAGTCTCAGCGCGCTTTGCGTGTCTGCCCCCTTGCCTCCTTCCCCCATTCCCTCCACCACTGCGGCTGCCTTTTCTGCACCTGGGCTGGGGTGAGCCAGGTTCGCAGCCTAATACTGGCCTTCCCGTGTGTTCCCCCCTCCTCCGCGCCTTCTTCCTTCCCCCCGTCTCTGCGCCAATTCGCGGCCAGAAGTTCGGCCACGTCCGCAGGACAACCATGGTTCGAGTGCGGGTGTTTCCGAGCTTTCCGAGTCCAGGGCCATTGCAGCTTCTTTGCCTGCTCGGCTTTGTGGCAATCTTTGTTTGTGGTGTTCTGGATCGCCTTCCTGAGGGGCAGTGGATTCCTCCTTTCTTCTCCCCTGTTGCGTGCGTTGGAAAAACAAGAAACTCTCCCAAGACAGCCCAAGAGGGCTACAAGAGGGCTCCACGACAACCCAAAAGGGCCTCAAGACAGCCCCAGAGAGCCCCAAGACGACCCAAAGGGGGCTCAAGCGGCCCCCAAAACGTTCCACAAAGGGAGGCCCAAAAGGGCCATGGGAGGCTCCCAAGACAGCCCAGGACGGCCCAGACGGCCCCAGGGTGGCTCCAGGGTGGCTCCAGGGGCCCCCAGGGGCCCGAAAACTGCCCAACCGGGGCCCACAAGAACCTCCAAGAAGGCATGGCCGCGAAAGGCTCGAGAGTCCACAGGCCCTGTCAGGTTCGTGGGAGCCCACAAAAGCCTTCAACACGCGCCCAAGAGGCCTCCAGAGGTCCCCAAAGCCCTTGAGAGGCAGTCGTGCAAGAGGAAGGTGATTACTTCCCGCGTCGTCGCTGCCTCTCCGCATCTCGGAATAATCGTCCCACCGAGGTTTCGCGGCGTCGGCTTCCCACCGAGGGTTTCTTGGCATTCATTCGCATTGCTTCCCACTGCATTGCATTGCGCGACCAGGCAACCTATGCCACAAGCGAGCCCATGTGCTAGCCACACGATGGTCCCCGAAAGGCATTATTTTGCTGCACGGCTGTACGTGTCCACAGGGCGTCTGGCCCGAACCCCGCATTTGTTCATATGGCTTCCCAGTGCTTCCCATGGGCCAGTGCGCGGGGCGCAAGCCGCCACCAGGAGCTGCCAGCTACCGCTGTGTTTGGTCATCTGATAGATATCCCCACATTCCGCCTGCATGCCGTAGTTGAAGCACCAAGTTGCAGGACGCGAAGAGCCAGTGCAGTGTAACGTTTGCTCACCCATACATTGTTGGAGGGCTCCGTTGCCATGTGATTGGCGGTTACTGCGGTGTTATTGGAGGCATATTGTGGCTTCGAGGGTTTGTTGGCCCGTGTTACGTGGGTAGATCGTGGGCCATGGTGCAGCTGCCTTGGGGGAGGCATCGGGCCATCCTGTAGCCGCCCTGGGGCCGTGGACATGGCAGAGAGGAAACCGTAGGGGGCGGTTATTGTTCGGAGGCACGCGGTGAGAGGCATACTATCTCACCCCAGCGCGCCGAGGGCCGCACGTGAACAGAACATGTCGAGCATGTAGTGTTCCATCAGTTCCGACGTGATCGCAAATATTGATAGTACCCCTACCGAATGTGAGATCCAGGTTGCATCGACTATGCCACTCTTCGCAAAGCAGCGGGCGAAGAGAGCATGCACATGTACGCGTGTGCGTACCGTTCGGCGTTTTCATGCAGCATGCGTGTATGCAGGCGGAGTTCCTTGATGTTGGGACCAACATACTCGTGCACGTCTACACACTGGTGTAAAGTGTCATGCGCACGTTCACCACAGTCAGCGGCATCATTTGCTAGTGAGAATTTTGAGGAGGTGTGTTCGTCCGCTTTAGTTGAGGCCGTGGCCCAGGCGTGGCTCAGTGCGCGTGCGCTCAGATGGGTGCGGTCGGTCCGTCTATCGTTGCGGTCGTTGCGGTCGTCGGTCGGTCGGTGTGTCGGTCCGGCGGTCTTCGTCGTCGTCGTCGTCGGTCGTCGTCGTCTCGGTCGGTCCGTCGGTTGGTCGGTCGGTCCGCGCCGTCGTCGTTCGTCGGTCGGTCGGCCGGTCCGTCGGTCGTTTTCTTTCGTGCAAATGAGGGGCTGGAGCGCACTCGTCTTGTCCGCATGAGCGGCTGGAACGCAGTCCCTCGTAAAAAGTGAGGGCTGGAATCCGCACCGTGTGCCTCTGGAGCGCGTTCCCTAGTAAAGATGATGGGCTGAAGCGCGCCTGTCTCGTCGGCTTGAGCGGCTGGAACACTTTCCCAGGCTTGAGAGCTGGAACCTTTCCCCGCCTCGGGTTGTAAACATATGCGTACGGCGGGGGAGGGAGGGAGCCAGGCCGGGCCCGGGGGCGCAGTTCCTAGCATTTTAGCCGCGCCTCGCCCTCACAGGTGGCCAGTGCGCGCGCCCTCGTGCGCGTGCGGCTGGCCCGTCCTTGGTCGGTAGGTCGGTCCGTCGGTCGGTAGGTCGGTCCGGTCGTCGGTCGTCGGTCGGTCAGTGGGTCCGTTGTTCCTCGTCGTCGTCGTCGGTCGTCGTCGTCTCGGTCGGTCGGTCGGTCGGTCAGTCCGTCGCCGTCGTCGTCGTCGTCGTCGTCGTCGTCGTCGTCGTCGTCGTCCGTGGCTCTTCCGTCGTCGTCCTGGTCCGCGTCCTCGTCCTCGTTGTCGGTCGTCGTCGAGCAGGTCGAAAGCCGTGACGGGCTCCAGCGAATGCGGCTTGTCAGTGCGATCCTTAAATTTAACTTTTTCATCGGCCAGTCTCAGCATCACACGGCGCGCCAGTCGAGATGCAGCAGAGGCCGGCAGCGCACGCCGAGGCCAGGGACGCGGAGCTGGGCAGGCTCCTGGAGGAGAGGCTGGCCCAGAGTGCCATGACGGAGGAGGAGGGCGCCCGGATCCGCGCGGCGCTCGACAGCTTGGAGGCCACCTTGACGCAGGCCGGGGAGGAGTGGTGCGTGAGGCCCTTCGGCAGCGTGCCCAGCACATTCCACACGCGCGGTGCCGACGTGGACGTGACCTGCTTGCGCCGGGGCGGCCTGCCCGCTGGCCAGACCCCGGCCAGCCTCATGTCCGAGAAGATCGGCCCGCTGTTCCGGGATCACCCCCGCTTCAAGATCTTGGAGCAGGTTGCTCCTCCTCCTTCTCCTTCATTTCCACATCCACTGCGTCTCGGATTTTTGGGCTCCCGTCTTTAGAGTTAGAGTCGGCGGCGAGCGAGATGTGGAAGCGAGAAGGGGCGGGCCTTCTCAGAAGGCTCGGAAGCCCCCCCGGGCTTCTGAAAAGTTTCCTGGGCCTTCCCCGGAGACAGAACAATTTCTCAGAAGGCGCGAGGGCCTTTGAGAAGTCCCGCCGCCTTCTGAGAAGGCCTTTTCCTTCTCAGTTCCCCCCCTCCCTCGCAGCCGATAGAAACCCGGGACGCAGTGAGTTCTGGCCTCAGGCAAGGCGAGATTTGTATCCGTATTCACTGCGCCTCGGGTGTTGGAATGCCTTCCCAAAGTCCAGGCCACCGTGGGTATGGATACAAATCCTTATGGTGCAAATCCTGGAGACCTCGCGCGGCGCGCAACAGTTTTGCTATCCAGTTTGCGCGGCGATGCTCTGACGTACATCCGACCTGCATCCGACCTAAAACCGATGTAAATCCGACGTGGATCCGACGTACACTGGGTCTCAAGTTGCCGCGGAGGCCTCTTCCTCTTCTTCATCCTCTTCCTCCTCCTGCTCCTCCTCCTCCTCGTCCTCCTCTTCCTCCTCCTTCTCCTCCAGGAGCTGCTGTGGCTTTCGCAGCAGTAACTCCCACCACACCTCCCACACCGTACATCCATGGGTGGAGGTCACGAACATGCGGGGCGGTAGGCCTAGGCTGGCCTGCCGTTCCTTCGCCTCCCTTCCCCCACCCGCAAGAATTATTCGAGTGATGGTTATCATAACTGTTGCGCACAATGTTGACTGGGCAGACTACACTCGATTGGAGGTGATCTCGACGCTCACGCCGACGGTTGACATATTGTTGCCAAATGGCACAGGGCGAGCTGCTTTGAAGGATGAGGACGTGCTCCAGACCACCCTCCCCAACCACATATGCGTGCAGTTTGGTTTTCGGAATTCTAGATGGGCGAGTCGTTCACGTGGCTTGGCAGTTCGGTACAACGCAAAGATGAAGGGCACATTGCAGCAGACGCAGTTCCCGCCCATGTCCAGAGGCATCGCAGGGCGCATCGCCACGACAAAGTTCAGGATTGGAGCATTCACGGTGGCGCGTCTTCCTTTTTATTTGCCGTCATAAAGAACCACACGCCCCGTGTTGAAAGAGGCCGTAAACAAATGTTTGACATGGTTTACACAGAGAATTGACAAATTGGGACACCAATGCATCATCGCCATGGGCGGAAACCTCAAGTGTGCTTTCGGCATCCGCAGAGACTCGACTGGGCGAAAATACGGAGTAGGGCACGCTGCCTGATGGGTGCCATCCGCTCAGTGCGCATGTGCTCACACTGCTTCGACGGGTGCTCGTCTGGCGGGAAGATGTTTACCAAACTTCGGTGGGTTCTCTCGCGTAGCAGGCCCCATCCCGCTTCTACATTTCCCTGCTCGCAAAGATCTCTCCAAGCACTCTCGGGGATCTCCTCTGCGTGCTTCTCTAACTTTTCAAGGCACTGATTCGAAGGTGTCCGTGAACAGATGCTCCCATGAGGGTGCCTCGGTTGACTCGCGGGTGATGTGATCCTTTGTGTCCAGGCTTCAAACGAAAGTCTAGCTACAGTGACAGGAGAGGGAGATCCTGCGGTAGCGTTATGGCTCGTCGCTGGAGTCTGCGGCCTAGCTGCTGAAGTGCCCGCATGGCAGTGATTCTCTGCAGGCACGTCGTCGGCAAAGTTATAATAATCTATCTTGCTGCTGGAGGCGCCGTTAAAGTTTTGCGAAAGCCGAATATGACGTGGCATGCGCTCGCCTGGGATCCAGCACGCGAGGGCTACATGCAGCACGGCGACGCCACACACTCGAGAACATAATCCAGACCACAACTGCATTCGAACGGAAATGGAAGAAACGTGACTGGCCACAGGTCCACAGCCTGAAGACATCATTATCAGGCAGAGGGCCAAAGAAGCGATTCAGCTTCGGGACCAGGCAGAGCATGACCATCGACGAGGCCACGAAAGGATTTTCACAGACAGCTGAAGATGGTGGACTTGGAGCTACACCAGCAAATTGGGCAGAGATGGCACCAGACTGTCGGTTTCTTTCCAGACTAGTTGCGCCAGGGTTAGCAGTGGAGATAGCCCAGGCCGGCCGCCTCGGCCAGATGAAGTACCTCAGGCGCGCTCCGAAGCGAAGAGTGTGCCAGGCGTGGGGGGGGGGGGGGGGGGGGGGACGGGGTGACCTCCGAAGCACTGCTGATGGCCATCGACAGGAAATGGATTCGAATGACGACGGCGCGAATATCTTTACACTTCGCATTTTTCTCGCAGGTGTAACGACCTCCTCATCCTCGTTAGAACGGTTGAGTTCATGCCCATGAGCGTTGTGTGGTCACGTGCGTCTTTTGTTGGTTCAGCCCGAGCACAACTTCGCGCATGGCATCGACGGGTTGCGCATGTTGCACGGCTACGGCGCATGTGGGATGAGTTTCCGTGGGCCGCTTCTCAATCGCGCGAAACGGCCAGTGCCCAATGATTGCGCGCGCGGGGGGCTCCGAGGCCGGGGTCGCGAGGGGTGCCTACTAGGTTTAGCATCGGCTGCGCGGGGATGTAGAGATACGAGAGCATCGCGCACGCTCGCGAACTTGACGGGTTGAACGTTTCCGCATGCGCGGACAGGGAGTGCTTGCACGAGCTGCGCGAGAGCACTGCGCAGCCCGACCAGAAGAAACACCTGCGCACAGCTATCGAGAACGCAGCGGCACACGTGAACGCCGTGGACGGGGAAAAAGGACTTTCGGGCTGACCGAGGCACCTCGATGGGGCACTCTCTGGCAGCAGCAGATGTCGTGGACGTTTCCTCTCCAGGGATCGAGACTTGGGGCGACAAGCTTCGACAGGGTGATTTCAGCTACCACCTGCTCGCAGGTCGCAGCGTTCTAACCAACAGTGCTGACGTCGGGGTAGGCGCGTTCATCGGCGACAGTTCGCGCATGCACGTGCGTCCCTACAAACCAGCAGCTTAGCATATAGCAGCGCAGCTGGTCTACTACAATAACAGACATTGAAGACAGGACGCCACTTTAACAAGCACAAGACAGCGCGCATCGCGAGCATCATGGGGCAGGGGTTCCTTGCGCGCGTCAAGCAACTGTGCGCGCCGTCTCTCGCCAGCGCCACCGTCGGCAAAAAGGCTCGGCCCTCGGGGCTCATCGATGCCAGGCTGAACCGCTGCCGCGCAGGCTGAAGCGGATGCTCTTTCTCTGCTGCGTCTACGTGGTGGCCATCTCGGGATGTTCTGCCTTTGTGCTTCCTGAAGTTTTCAGTGATCGATTGGACAGTGTAATCGTAAACATGTTGCTGGGGGCGATGAAAAGACAGGCGGTCATCGCCGCGGAGGGCGGTCGAGCTCGCGCGATGCCTTCCAGAGAGGTCCTCCCCTGCTGGGATACATCGCCCACTGCAGTCGAGCACCATCTGCAGCGCGCCAGATGGATCCGCGCCGTTTCCAGGGGCCCAGCCAACCGCGAGCAGGTCCTCATGGGAGTCTTCGGAGCCACTAGACTGGGCGCATGCGTCAAGCGCCGCCGTTAAAATAGTATTGGACAGATATGCGAGCACAGCGCGCCATGGGCTCAACAATGGTTGGCATACTGAAAGACGGCTGCAAAAGCTACGGAGATGCACTGTGGCACCTGTTTCCAGGCCCAGAGTGCGAGGCCAAACGTAGATTGCACGAGTGGGCGGCGCCGCGCGCAAAACATCATGGAGCTTTGTTGAGACAGTGGGGCAGCAGCAGTATTCGAGAAGTTTCAGATTGGCAAGCCCACCATGCCAACGTGGATATAGAGAGAGCACTCGAACACGAGCGCGCAGCACGAGGTCGCGCCATGCGCGACGAGGGGGGGGGGGGGAAGGGGGGGGGGAATACGAGGGGGAGTTCGCGCGCGTGCGTGAGTTACGCGATGGCACAGCCCGTGGAGCCGCATTCCCGACAATGAAGGCTCTGAACGCCCATGTCAAGTTTGCTCATCAGCTTCGGAATGAATGCCCGCTCGCCATCCGCGCGAGCACCTGTCCGCAGTGCAAGGTATCATTCGCCAACGAGGCCCCCTGCTTGAGACGCGCATGGGCGATGGCGGCCAAGGCGCCGAGAATGTGCCCAGCTCGATTTGTGTCGCTTGAATTTCGGCCCGAGCCCGATCTTCCTTGCGCCTGCGGGCGCTGCGGCATCGCGCATCAAGACCTGCGCTCGCGCTTGCCGCGCGCGCAAGAGCACGTCCCAGGGCCCGAGCCAGAAGGGGATGAACCCAGCAGAATGGATGAACCCGACGCAGCAGGCGCCGCAGCTGCCCCCCCCCCCCCCCCCCCTCGCGCAGCGACCGCGACAGGGGCCGGCAGCGCCAGGTGGACCCCAGCAGCGCCGCGCGAATGCTGGGAGTGGATTTCCAAAGCAGAACGAAGAGATGACGACGCTGCAGAGTGCGGCGCTCAAGCCCACGCAGACGTCGATGCACCTGGCGGGCTCGGTCTGGGACTTTTACCTGATCCCGCAGAACGGAGCGACGGGCCGGGGCGCGGACGCGGGGGCAGCTCACGTGGAAAATGTAAGGCAGGGAAGAAGGACCTGGGCAGCCCGCGCACGCACATCGCGGCCGCCTTCTCAGGGGGGCCTGGCGCATGCGGGTCTGCGTGGCCAATCGAAAGAGATCCTCGGCATTTTCTTTTTCTTGGTGAGCAAAATGTCGCGCCTGCGCGCGGGCGATATCATCCCATTCTTCCGCATCAAAGTCGCCTGCGGCCAGGAGGGCCAGCCGGAGCAGTTTGAAGTGCAGATCATGTACAACGCCCTCGCAGTCAGCCCCTTCATGGACGAGTCGGTCATCGTTGCAGTCAACAAGTGGGCAGAGCACCGATGGGGCCCATGGAAGTGATCAAGCCGCCACCGATCTCGATGCTGCATTTTCGCCAGGCAGCTCATCGGGCCATCATCCACGCAGGAGGCAAACCAGTCCAGGAATCAACCCCACCTAGCAGTGCTGGATAGGGCCCTCGAGAACCAGCTGCGCGCGCGCCAGACGTGAGATACGCCGCCGCGAACGTCGAAGACCTGCGCAGACAGGCCGAGAAGGGAAGCACGCGAGCACGAGACATGCTGGTGATAATGGGCTATCAATAATTTGTCTTGCGGCAGCCATCTCGAGGTCGCCAGCTCTATGCCACAGCTCCACGCATCTTTTCCTTCCAGTGGAAATGCCTTGTGGGGCGAAGATCACTCCAGAGTACGTCAATGCAGAAAGTTATTGGGGATGGAGTCTCTCTCAGATTAGTTCAGAGGATTGAGATGGATGGAGCCCCTAGCAGCTTATTTCAGATCTGAGACAGGTGGAGTCTTGCTCACAAAATCGACCAGCCGCCGATGCTGGAGGACCTCGCTACAGCCTCGACTTTTTGTTTGAGGATTCCTTGCCTCCATGAGAATGTGAGTGCGGCTACTGATGCACAGTGCAATGTAACATGTCGTTCTGGTGTTCTCAAAACATGCACGCTGCATTATATATATACACACATATATATATATATATAGCACAGTAAGCGCGTGATGCGCGTAATATCTATATTGTGCCCTAGCGTCCACTTAGCATGCTAGTGCATGTAGGAATGCAGGTTCAGGAGGGGGAGCCCAATGTTTCGCCCTTTCTTTTGCAAAGATTTGGATGTGTGAGACGGCCTGGGGCCGACGAGGGGCCCAAGGCTTTGTAGGCCCCACGGGCTCCCTCAGGTGCCCTACCGCCCCGCCCACATACATAACCAGCTGCGATGCAGGTGCTGACAGGCGCCCATGTTCTCGGGCCCGTGCTTCTTGCGCTGACGCCGAACTGCTGCCGAGGTCGCTCGTTCGCCCGCTCCTCCTCCTCCTCCTCCTCCTCCTCCTCCTCCTCCTCTTCATCATCATCATCATCATCATCATCCTTCTCCTCGGGATCTTCCTTCTTAAACCTTGCCCGCAGAGGTTCTGCGTGCCAGGGTGCCCATTATAAAGCTTCGTTTCGACGACCAGCTCGACGTGGACCTGTCCTGCCAGAACACGAGGGGGCTACAGAACACGCGCCTCCTGCGCGGGTACGCGCATCTCGACGACCGGGTGCGAAGCCTCGTGAAAACGGTGATCGCGGGCGACGATATAGGGGGGATGCATCGACCCCCCATCGCGTTAGGGGTCTGATGGCCCCGCCCCGCCGAGGAAGGTGCGGATTTGCTATCGGGGGCCCATCGCCGATCTATCGGCGATGTATCGTTGATTCTCCAGTCCCCCCCGATGGTTGTCCCTCAGGTGAAGCTCTGGGCGAAGGTCGCCGGCGTGTGCGGCGCTTCTCGTGGCAGGCTGTCGTCTTATTCGTTCGCGCTCCTCGCAATCTACTACATGCAGGTGGACCAGGAGGTCAGGCTCCCGATCTCGAAGAAGAGAGGGCGGCAAAACACACAAACGCTCGGAGCTCCGCGCGGATGTCTCGGGTCGGCGGTGGGCCGGCCTTGTGGCACCTCCGGCGCGCCGCCCCTGGCGCGTCCTCCGCTCGCCAGGGAGGGGGGCCCAGCGCCGATCCCAAGAGCTCCACGCGGAGCTCCAGAGCTTTTCATGTTTTTGCAAATCTCTTCTTCGGCCAGCCTCCCCGTGGCGGCATTCCGAGAGGAGGCGCACGCGGGGCAGGACGACGAGCGCCTCGTGGCCGCGTGCCGCGGCCGCTGGTCCTGCGCGCCGGCCCCCGCGGAGCTCCTCGAGCGCTTCTTCCGGTTCTACAGCGACAACGGCAGCTTCTGGGAGGGTCAGGAGGTGTCGGCTGCGCACAGGCAGACCCAGACCCACTCGCGTTGCGACGAAAATCACGACGGAGGTTTTTGCCTGTTTTCGGCCTCCGGGGGGCCCTTACTGGGCCTCGGGACCGTCAAAAAATGGTTCAGGATGAAGAACCGGTCCCGGGGCAGGGGTCCGGACCTGTGGGGATCGACGTTGCGAAAAAATCACGACGTCGGGCGTCTGGGAAGGGGTATAGGGGGAGGGGAGAAGGCTCCATAGAAGTACCCCTGCTTCTTAGAAGGCGCAGGCCGCTGGCCTTGTCAGTAGATGTAGGGCCGGCGCCTTCTAAGAAGCAGCCTTTTTCTAAGAAGCCTTCCTCCCACCCCCTATCCCCCTGTGCGCGCCGCCGAAGGTGGTGAGCGTGCGCCTTGGGAAGAGGCTCGCCGCTACGGAGGCACGGTTCGGGAGCCTGCACGGCAGGCACGCCTGGCGCTTACACATCGAAGACCCGTTCCTCCTGGAGCGCAACCTCAACTGCGTGCTGGGCCGCCTCCAGGAGCCCACTGCCAGAGTATTTGTCCACATCCACTGCTTCGGAGTCGTGCCCTGGGATCTTGAGGAGTGGTGGATATGTGGATAGCTGCCCGCCCGCGCAAGCCTTGGAATTGCTCGGACGTGTGCATCTTTCCCCCGGCGAGGACCACCGACGAGCATCTTGTATCATTTGCGCAAAAAAAAAAAATACGCGCACGGCATCCAAACATGCACGGGGAATTGACGTCCGAGCGATCGCGGCAACCGGGCAGGTATCCATACCCACCGCTCCCCGAGTCCCCTGGGCACGACCCACCACATCATGATTTCGCCACAGCTTGGATCCACGGAGGTCTCGACCAATCCTCCAGGACTGTCTTCTCATTCCGAGCCGATTCATGACGTAACCGGGACCAGCGAGGGCCTTCCGAGACCGAGAATGGCAAACAAAGGTCCGTCGTTGTTCTTTTCACGCCTGAGGAGTAGGAGGAGGAGGAGGAGGAGGAGGAGGAGGAGGAGGAGGAGGAGGAGGAGGGGGGTCCGTTGCCATTTTGGCTCAAGTGGGATCAGGTCCCATGCGAGCGGGCAGCTCTGCTCTTTGAGCTTTCCTGCGTGTCGTGCGCAGGCGGACTTCTCTCTTCTACATTTCCTCTGCGGCTGGCCTGCCCTCTTCGCCCCCGCAGACACGACGCTTGTTTCAGATACACTGTTGCAGCCATGCCTGAGACGCCACATTCTCGTCCTTCTGGAACCGCTGCTGATCGGTCTTGCGCTTCTCGTCGCCCAGCACCTGCTGCTGAACGCCCGGCGCAAACCCCCAGAACGGAAGGCACCAAAAATGGCAAGGAAGGTAAAGGGTTTGCTTCTTCTTCTGCACCGCTGGCTGCTGCTCCTGCTGCTGGCGGCCCTGTTCATGAGGTACCCCTGCATGACCCCGACGATGCTGAATTCTTTGGACCGTCTCCCGACGACCCCTCTGAGTTCCAGATCGTCAAAGCATATGTTGACGTCACCAAATCCAATGTGCTCGCCCAGATCGCCCAAATGCAGACTGGCATGTCCCAGCTTACCAAGACCTTCACGCAGCACTGCGAGAGCGTGGAGAAGACTGTCGAGACCCGCATCGGTGCCACAGAACGCCGCTTGGACGCCCACGATAGCAAGTTGGACACCATGCAGGCCGAGATTAATGAGCTTAAAGGATTACTCAATGCCGTCCGTACTGAGACGCCCCCACCGGTACCCCCGAGCGCTGTATTCCACAGAAAGACTGACCCCACCATCCTCGTCGTCCGCACGGCCTCACTGGTGGCCAAAGAAGCGGTATGTGAAGGACTGGCAGAGTGGCTTTCGGCATCTAATTTTGAAGAAGGATCTTGGTCAGTCGAAGGAGATCCAGCGGATCGACGCTTCACAGTCAAAGTCAAAGGAGCCCCTGGCTGGGCGGCGCGCATGGTCGCGCAGGCCCTCGGCAATATCAAGCGCCCTGACGGCAGTTTCCGCAGGTTCACCGCCTTCTCCGCCCAGCGTCAGAACGTGGACATGTTCGTATCAGCTGACAAAAACTTGGCTCTGATTCGCCGCGAACTCGGTCTCAAGAAGATTAAAAAGAAGCTCTCATAACTCTACCCCGACCGCACCTTCTTCGCTGACCGCAACACGGGAAAGGTATCTTCTCAGTGGCGTGCTTTCATCAAGGTCACCCCGCGCCAGAATGACATGCCCATCATTGAGTTCGACCAGAAGGCGCTCGACGCCCTCGGCTTGGTCAAGGCTCAGGTGGCCGCCGCGCTGGACCAGATCTCCACTGCCCCTGATGCTGCTGAAGAGTGGGGCCTTTAAAAGAACTTTCAAGCTGGTGAGGCTGCCGTCTCGCTCGACAGCCCCGAGCCCTCCTGGTTTGGCACTTACCGCTTGGAATGCTCGCGCGCTATTCCATCATGGCCCAGCTACGAAGACCAGTAAACTCCAGTACCTACGCCAGCTCCTAAAAGGTTTCAATATTGTTGCGACTCAAGAGTCGCACGGCAGCGAAGACGATGTTTTGGATTTTCTCCACCTCCTCATGCAGTCTATTCAAGACCAGGCCAGGCCAGCAGAGGCTAACACTCAGACAGAGTTCCTGACTAATGAAGCGCATCTGGCTGAAATGGCTCGGTTGGACAGAGAAGAATTAACTGAAACTGTGATCGAAGCTAGAAAAAACGTCGAGGCTGAGCGGATCGCCCTAGCCATGGCTGCTAGAGAGCGTGAACAGGCGCTGATAGAACATCTGCACAATCAGACTGAGGCCGTGAAATGGCAAGTGGAGAGGGAAGCTGCAAATAAATTCAGAGAATTATTGACTTCGGAGAGACGGGCCGTCATGATGGCAAACGAAGAATCTGCTGACGCCAATACGGTTGCCGCTGCCGTTGCGGCGGCCAGGATAGAAGGATAACAAATCGCGACAGTCATGGCGGAACGAGGAAAGCATGGCTTACAAGAAGAGCTCAAAGCCGCCAGGCTGGAAGCAGACAACACCCAAGCTGTAGCTGCGAATATAACCAACCAGAACAATCTCTATCTGGAAGAGCTTAAATCGCATGAGAAAGCTAGATCTTCCCTCCAGCGCATAATGTCAAGCAATGCCAAACGCCCGCCGGCTAGGCCGACTGGATCGAACATACACCAATTGCCGACGGCTCAGTCGTCGGGAATAGTATCCATCCCTACGCAATTTGATCAGACGACCTTGGCTAATGCGGGAACATCGACCATGCTGGTAGGAGGGGCAATGCATCCTCCTCCCGAGGAGAAGGGAAACACACTCCCCGTGGATCAGTTTTGTGCCGTTTGTCCTCGTCCAAAAACGGACAATTGCGTCGGATGTGGCAGGTCGGCGTGCAAAGAACATATCGATGTGAGCACTAGGAGATGCTATAGATGCGACCTGTGGAAGAGTGAAAGGTCAGCTGCCAATGATTGTTTCGAACGCAATTTTTCCAGAGAAAGAAAAGATGAGGCTTAAGGCTATCATCGCCGACCCGACTCCATATACTGAAAATAAACGAGATACCGGACTCGCATCGAAGTCATATGGTTTTCCGTTGCTCTCGCAAGAAACTCCCGTGAGGCCGCTGTTGCCTCAACATTTTACTGTTCCAGGCCCTGCCCTAGAAGGTCCGGCTAAGCCGAGCACCGCTGAGAATGGACTTCCTGTAGGGATGAGGCTAACTGGACCTAACGAAGGTAACGTCCTTGCCAATCTCCGTCCGGCCTATGGAGACGGTCCTACGGGGACGACGGCGACCACGTCGTCGGGCGATGAAGGACAGGGCGGGGGCGGAGACGACAAGAGCGACGTTCCCAACACTGATATCGTATCTTTGCACGAAGACGATCGTGGTAGAAAACCACGTGGGTCGCCTCCGGGTAGCCCAGGGGGGTCAGACCCCTCTGAGGGCGCGGGTGGGCGCAGGGGACCTCAGGGCCCCGGCGGACCGCACGACTCAGTAATAATTGACGAGAGTGCGCCGTTAGATCAGTGGAGACAGGTAGGTAACAATCAGAAGATTGATTTGGTGGACATCCCTGATGCAACGAACATTCGCGAATGGAAAACGCACGCAATACGTGCAATCGCTGGATCATCGCCCGAGAGCCAGACAGCACAGCACTGGATTGCTGAGGCTATGGATCCTGATGTGGAGGATGAGCAACTCAAAGATGCTGGGCGATTCCAGCGTCTCGACCTCATGATCGCAACGAATATTATCGAAAAGTTCAATTATCCCAGTGCGACCCTACCTAGGAGTTGGAGCCCCTAGGAAAGCAGCATTAGTAGCAACAGTAAAGCTAAGCTAACGCTAAGCTGCAGCTAAGCTACAGCTAAGCTAAAGCTAAGCTAAAGCTAAGCTACAGCTAAGCTAAAGCTAAGCTAAAGCTAAGCTAAAGCTTAACTAAGGCTAAGCTAAAACTAAGCTAACGCTGAGCTAAAGCTAAAGCTAAATATAAGCTACAGCTAAGCTAAGTATAAGCTTAAGCTAAGCTAAAGCTAAAGTTAAGCTACAGCTAAGCTAAAGCTAAGCTAAAGCTAAGCTAAAGCTAAGCTAACGCTAAGCTAACGCTAAGCTGAAGCTAGCTAAAGCTAGGCAAAAGCTGAGCTAAAGCTAAGCTGAAGCTAAGCGGAAGCTAAGCTAAAGTTAAAGCTAAGCTAAAGCTACAGTAAAGCTAAGCTAAAGCTAAGCTAAAGCTAAGCTTAGGCTAAGCTAAAGCTAAGTAAAGCTAAGCTTAGGCTAAGCTAAAGCTAGGCTAAAGCTAAAGCTAAAGCTACAAGCTAAAGCTAAAGCTCCCAGGGCCCTGGAGGAAACGCGGAGCGGGGACTGGGGGGGCCGCCCGGGGCGATTTACACTGCCCGCCCCTTTAAGCTGAGAGAGTGAGAACCCTTCTAGGCAGAGCCTAGGTAGGGAACAAGATGCGAAAAAGTCGATATCAGCCTGCTCATCATACTCATATCCTTCAACAGGTTACACGCGTGGAATGTAGCGCCCAGGCCGAGGGAGGACTCATGACTGGACGCGAGATGGTGCGGGCAATTTGTCACTGGTGTTCGGTGAGATCGGAGTTGGGACAACATCGCATTTCACGTGACCTCTTCAAGGTTAACATAGACCCGCGCAAGCCTGATGCTGACCTGTATCGCTTCCACAATGAATGGACAGACGTATATCAACAGCTTTATGGCGCTAAGCCTCCGTCCGATGAAATGAGGGCTTCGATTCGTGCACACTTTCTTGAACAATGCAGAAAGCCGAGCAAACTGAACTTTGTATGTCAGTTATATGACTTGTCAAAAGATAGAGTGGGACAAGGTGTGAGGACTGACGAGTGGCTGATGGAGCCGATCGAAGAAATGATGTTGAGAGAAAAAGAAGAGTGGAACATCAGCGTGCATGAGGGAACCTTAAGCCAACGCGCAAGGCAAGCACGATTCGGCGGAGGCGGAGGCAATGACAATCGGAGGAATGCAGGCAGTAAAGCCG